TTGAGCACTCCAGAGTCAGTGTGAGCCTCCTTGCTTCCGGAGGGCTTAGTTATTTTGTTCTCTTAGTTTTGTCTTATTAGGGTGTTGCGGGGTCTGTCCCAACATCCATCTCAGTATTTTAGAGGCTTCATAGACAGACAGTCAGTCAGTTAGTTTTGAGTCTCTCATCTATATATATATGTAAATATTCTATTTTGAGATTCGAGTTGCCTTTATGGCCATATTTTATAAGTTAAGTTGTTTTGTAATATTGCATTGCATTGAGTTATTCTGTTGGGTTAGGTTTCCGCTGAGTTAAGAAAGCCAGGCCAAGGGTTCGCTTGGGGCCAGAAATGGTCTCCGGGTGCCGGTCCTGCCCAGGGTGTACGCTCGGGGCGTGACATTACGTTTGCATCATCTCCACAGATGACGTGAAACAACTGGCTGAAGGAGTGCGAGGGAGCATAAGCAATGTTATAGGAACACATATTTTGTCCAAATCTACAGTCATATAAGGAAGAATATCAAATCGAAGAGGGATAAGAGGAAACAAGAAGAGAAGGTCAATCCAATGAGAAACGCCAAGAGGAGGCTGAGGATTGCAGAAAAGCATAAAGCCCACAAGAAGAGGAAAATGATGTCAATGAAGATGGGAAGATGGATGTAGTAGAATGTGTACTATTATAGGGCTACAAAGCCATTATTAGGTATGAACAATGGAGCATCGAGCTTCGATAGCAGTAGCTTCTATAGAAAATTTTGTTTAATTTATGTAACCAATTTTTCCATTGTATAGTGCTAGTATGTAGAGTTGCACTAAAGCTTAGTTTTAAAAATTGATCAACTTTTTCTTTGTATAGTGAATATAGTGTCTCTCTGATTAACCTACAATACCAGAGAACATTGTAAGTGATCGAACTGTGTAATTTATTGATTTTTAGTAATGGAAACAGTCTTAGCTTGGACTTTGGAGAAGAGTGTTCGTCCTATTCTGCGTTAAATTAAGGCGGGTCATGGAGATTTAATGTCTCAAGGATAAATATGACTCTGAAGTATAACAAATGACAAATAATATAACTTTTTTGTTAGAATACAGGAACAAATACGATCATGTTTTTGTTTTATTTATTGCATGAGTTAATACTAGACAAATAAAAATAGACGAAGGGAGTAATTTAATTTACTTCCTCACCAAAGGTCAATTCTAATAGTTTCATCTTGAATTGGACCATTTCTATTTTCAACCAAATTCCTAATCAATTCTTTGCGATTAATTTATTACAGAACGAATATTGCTTATTAAAGTATCATAAATTCATGTTGAAACATTCTACTTGTCATTTAAAATTTTACAACTTCCGACTTTTCCTCTTTTTTATTTAAATATAATAAACTAAATAATAATTGTAGATGTGAGTTCATAACTTTAAGATAATAATAATTTCCACTTGCGAAGTTTTGGTGGAAATTTGCCAGCTCTTTTGGTATTCTCTCATTTATATCATATTGTCATTTTCGAAAGTCAATTTAATTAATTTTCAAAATTAAATTAGATTGTATTAATTTGATATTTTAAACAAAAAATTTAAATATTCAAAAACTATAAAAAAATTATAAATTACAATTTTTTGCATATTAATATGATGAAAAAATACATTATAAAAATGATCATTATTTTTAATAGTGTGAATGAGTAAAAATCTACGAAGGAAATGAAAGTAAATTGTATATCTACTTTTAATAGCTGGACAAATAAAAGTGAATAGACATATTATGTCTTGGAAACTTCCCTTTCATTTCTGTAAACCTTCTTTGGGGCTTGTAAATGACTTGACCCAAAATTAAATTTCCAGGAACAAACAAGTACTTGTGGGTATATAAATAGCTGCTTCACATCTCTATTTAATTAATTAAGCAAAAAATTGACTAAAAATCTCTTTAATTTATTGTCATCAAATATGAATACTCAATTTGTTGTAGGAGAATCATCTTCTTCTTCCAACTTATCTTATGATGTGTTTCTCAGTTTCAGAGGTGAAGATACTCGGAAAAACTTCACAGGTCATCTTTATTTCCGATTGTGTCAAGTTGGAGTTAATACTTTCATAGATGATGAGGAATTGAGAAAGGGAGACGTCATTTCAATTGAACTTGAGAAAGCAATTGAACAGTCTAGGGTTGCCATTGTTGTTTTCTCCAAAAATTATGCTTCCTCTAGTTGGTGTCTTGATGAACTTGTCAAAATTCTCGATTGCAAAGAGAGGTTAAATCAGGTAGTTTTGCCTATTTTCTATGATGTTGATCCTTCTCAAGTGCGAAGGCAAACTGGATCCTTTGACGAAGCTTTGGCAAAACATAAGGAACGATTTGTTGGAGCTGAAAGAATGGAAAAGTGGAAAGCTGCACTTACTGAAGCAGCAAATTTATCTGGATGGGATTTGAGAAATGTTGCTGATGGGTAAGACTTCTTAATTCAACTATTAAATTTTGAATTTAAGCGTTTGCCTAAGCTTATAACTTGGTTAATTTTGGAACATTGTAAAGTCTTTCTATATTTCTTAAATTTTGTGTCAAATCAAACTGTGTCATATAGATAGGGACAAGGAATATATTCTCCATTCTATAAACTCTTTTATCTTTTGGCTATTGATTTTTATTTTGTTCATCAAATATTTTTAAATACCTAAGTATTTATTGTTGCAAAAACTGTAGGCATGAAGCAAAATTTATTGAAAATATTATAAAACAAGTTCTGCGAGAGGTTAACCAGACACCTCTAGATGTTGCTCATTACCCAACTGGATTAGATTCTCCTATCAAACATATAGAGTTGTTACTGCAAAGTGGATGTGAGCATGAAGTTTGCATGGTTGGTATATGTGGCGTTGGTGGAATTGGAAAAACAACTTTGGCAAAAGCTATCTATAATCGAATATTTCAACAGTTTGATGGTAGTTGCTTCCTTTCTGACATTAGATCAAAAACTGAAGAATCTGGTCTAGTCAAGCTTCAAGAGAAACTACTTAATCAAATCCTCAAAACTAAGGAATTTGAAGTTGATAATGTTGCTGAAGGTGCTAATCTCATCAAAGCAAGACTTGGGTCTCAAAAGGTTCTAATTGTTCTTGATGACGTAGATCATAGAAGCCAATTAGAATCCTTAACAAGAGAAAGAAGTTGGTTTGGCTCTGGTAGTGTAATAATTATTACAACCCGAGATGAACATTTGCTATATGGGCTTACAACAAGTGAGATATACCGGGCCAAACTTTTAAATGACAATGAAGCCCAACAACTTTTTTCTTGTCATGCTTTTAACTGTTTTTCTCCACCACAAGAATATGTTGAACTGGCACAAGACATAATAAAATATTCAGGTGGGCTACCATTAGCTCTTGTGACATTGGGGTCACATCTGCTAGGGAGATCCGTTAAAGAATGGAGATACGAGTTCAAAAAACTAAAAGCAATTCCTCATGGTGATATTCAAAAGATTCTCAAGATAAGCTTTGATGGACTTGATGTCAATACTCGGAGTGTTTTCCTTTGATATCGCATGTGCCTTCCATGGTTGTTATGAGGATGAAGTTGCCAAAACATTAAATGCGTGTGGTTTTTATTCTGAAAGTTCAATTCAACCTTAGTCCAAAGGAACTTGCTCCAAAGGGATGATTGGTCTAGTTTGGTGATGCATGATCTAGTGCAGGAAATGGGAAGAGAAATCGTTCGCATGGAATCTCAAGACCCTGGAAAACGGAGTAGATTGTTCAACCCTCAAGAAGTCATTGATGTTCTACAAGGAAATAAAGTCAGTAAATTTTATTATCTTTATCTTGGTTATACTTCTTCTTCTTTTTTACATTTATATTGATATACATTTGCTTATAATTTATGCATTTGTGCTTAAATCTTCTCCGGCCAGTAAGTATCTCTAGATGTTTGAACCATTCTGTACTTGAAATGAACATTTACTGAAGTCTAAACACTCAATCTGTCAAAGACAAAATTATCAATTAAATATCCTTTAGTTGGATATAATGTGTAAATTTATTTTTATCGGTACATAATTTATTCTATTTGTTTGACCTTCAATTTGTATAAAGCATTTCTCTTTCTTAATTTGTCATACTTAAGCATGGTCTTATAGTACTTTTATTTTTACTAAATTGCAGGGTTCTAAAAAAGTAGAAATATTGGTGGTAGAACGACAAGCATTAAAGGGTGTGAAGCTAAGCACCAAAGTATTTCAGAAAATGATAAATCTTAGGGTGCTTAAAATAGACCACTTACATATTAGTGGAGATTTTGAGCTATTGTCCAAGGAGCTCAGATGGTTGTCTTGGAAAGGATGTCCGTTAAAATGTGTACCATCAAATTTTCCATCTGAGAAACTTGTATTTCTGAATATGAAAGGGAGCAATATCCAAGAATTTGGTTTGAATTTGCAGGTTCGTTACTCAATTCTGCAATTTTATGTGTAATGTTTAAGAGAAAGAAAATCTTAATTGAAACTATGTTTTGTTTACTTTTAGTATTGTAGAAATTTGAAAATGCTGGATCTCTCTTATTGCAAGCGCCTCAGAAAAACTCCAAACTTCAACGGTTCACGAAGTCTCGAGACTTTGTGGCTTGAGAATTGCTCAAGTCTGAAGGAGATCCATCCATCCATAGGAAATTTGGACAGACTAATTTGTCTTCGATTGAGTGGTTGCAAAAAGATTACTGATCTTTGGAGCAGCATATGTCAGCTAAAATCCCTTGAAATCTTGTACATTAATGACTGCTCATCTTTACAAACACTGCCAGTTGACATTGGAGATATGCAAAGCCTAAGATTTCTTAATGCACGTGAAACAGGTATAAAAGAATTGCCTGGATCTGTTGAAATGCTAGGAAATCTTATAGAATTGGAAATGGGAGGTCAATACTTTGAGACCAAAAGGAGGTTTTCTCAAACAAGAGTACGCCCTATAGTATCCTTGTCAAAATTTATTTCGATTCTATGCCTTCCATATTGTGGTTTTTCAGAGGCTGATGTTCCTAGGGATATTGGGAGTTTATCCAACTTATATCATTTAGATTTGAGCGGCAGCAGTTTCCTCTATCTACCCTTTGATTTTTCCAAGTTACAATTGTTGATGTCCTTGTATTTGAATGATTGTGAGAACCTTCAAACACTCCCGTCAATATCAAATTTAGAGTACCTTGAAATTGTTGAACTTAGGAATTGCCAAAAACTGGTCAAGATTGCAGGGTTGGACAACCTCCCTTCAATAGAGAAGATGAACATGATTAATTGTACTCGTCTGCAGAATCCATTCAGTGAAGGCTTCTTTAGTGCCCCTGCTCTATCAATTCCGTCTAGAGAACATCAACGGTATGAGGTTAGTCCCTCTCCCTCTCTGATCTCTCTCGTATCACATTAATAATTAATGATCTAATTGTGTCTTAATTTGTCTGATGAAGCTGTCATTACAAATTAATCTCGAAAGCAATGAGATTCCAGATTGGTGCAGCAATAAAGTAACAGCTCCATCTATCTGTTTGACTATGCCCACAGTACATTATAACAAGTTCTTAGGAATGGTTCTCTGGTTTGTTTGCCGCCTTTGCGATGTACATGATCTTGAACACTTCGCTGTTACTGTTGCCCATAAAAAGAGTACAGGTTTTCCGTGGATTTGGCCTTTTGATAGACCTAACAGTCACGGAGAAGTATCATGTGTATATTACTTATCTTCCGTAAATGATAGACCTTTTAAAGGCCTGAACATCAAAGGTGGGGAACAGATAACAGTAAAGAATGAAACTGACAGAGACTAGTAAAGAAGATAGGGATCCATCTGTTATACTTGGACCAACATGGTAATGTTACATCTTTGCCGGGAGTTGTGGATCATTCTTATACTCCCTCCTACCCACAAAGACTTTCGGGCATATCAACTCAAACAACAACAACACATCCCACAAGTGAGGTCCGTAACAGTGGATATCAACGAACAAAGTTCTGAGATTGTGTTCGGTACCATGAAGAATGTGTTCCATAGAAATAGGCCATGGACCTGGATCTACCAAATGATAACAATGCCTCTAAAATGTCTTTTTGGAAAATGTTTCCCCGGAGAATAAGTAGGTTTTCTTACTTATTTTCTTGTGTTCATTATGTAAGAAAAAAGTTTGTTCTAAAAGTATTTGTATATAACACCTTAGACACTACTATCAATATGTAATATTCAAAATTCTCTTCCAAATACAATCTCATTTGCAAATGACTCCTAAATGAATTTTGTCCAATTATTTCTGCTTCACTCATCCACCGTGTATAGGATCTACGGGTTTGATCAAACTCAATAACTTTGATTCAAATCATGTATTTATGTTATGACATTCCAACAAACTTCAAAAATGATCGGTTGAGATCTAGAACTTACAAACTCAAAATCTTAATCCACATCTAGTAACTAATTAAGTAGTGACTGAAAATGAATCCATCAACAATAACATGAGCAAAATCAAAATTCATTCACAAATCAAACCATATAAATAAAACATCATAATTAGACACACAAATAAAAAACAACATAAAATCAGTCTCTAACTTTGAAAGTGCACGTCTAGATATTTTAACTTGCTATTAACTAACAGCTAAACACTCCAACTTGGCCTCAATGTATCTCGTGGACATCCTACATTAACATAACAAATAATTTTGGAAGAATCTAAATGATCATTTTATAAATTGGAGAATTTAACTGAGACCAAATTTGAATATCACATGTTTATGTATTATGCCTTTTTTTCTAATAGTAACACTTCATAAAATGCGGAAAACAATACACTCCAAAGCTTAAAGTACAAAGAGGAAATCTTTGAACTAAATAAATGTATATTGTACAATTAATATATTCAATTAGTACAATTCAAAATTAAAGTTAGAGACAAATGGTTATCATTGATTTTGGGGAATATACAAATGGTATATATGCCATACAATCATACACCATTTTACAGTATTTTGTCATAAAATATTATGATAATTCAATCCATAGAAAAATGGGACCCCTGGAAGATTAAAAAACTATAGGTTCTAAATTTTATAAAAAAGCATTTACTGGTCGGGTTCGGGATAACTTTTTTATACTTCTTTATCATAAATACAAAGTTCCCAATTAGGAAGTAGGTAAGAAATTGTATTAATTTTAATTAAATTATTTTAAATTTTTTACTGAAATCATCCTTCAACTATGACACAAATCTAAAGTGCAATAGCTCAAAATATAGTGGAGAAGACGATTTAGGTTAGGAGATTTAGAGGGAAACCTACATGCTTTACACATATTTTGACGATAACAAGTTAACTTTTTACCAAAATTAACCGAAGGATGACTATTGAAACTTCTTAGATAGATGAATGATGTTTTTTGTTCAATATAATAATGCAAGGATGTAACCAAAATCTAGGCTATAGTTTGAGGATGAGTTTTATCGAAAACTCTAATCATTTTCATTTATTATCTTGAATATTTTAGTAAGCTATATTAAAATTATTATTGTATTAGTTATATTTCATGTTTAAAATCTTTGAGCAATAGTAATGGCCATTACCAAATGATCACACAATTTTTGTAGAAAATAAAATAAAATCAAATTCATAAAACTCAATATTTCAAAATTCTTTTTAACTAGATGCAATTTATGCAGAGCATAAATAACAAAATTCATTTTCGTTGGGTCAAAATAAGTAGATGCAAATAAAAGCATAAATAAAGTGCACATCATGAATTAAAGTTTTTTTTTTCTTTTGAAAATTGAGTAGACTCCAAATCAGATAAATTTTTTTATATGAATTATAACACAATACAAGACAAAGGGCAAGATTATTCTCTTTATTTTATCCTAATCCTAATACTAATAGTTTAACTACCAAATCATGTGTATTTTTATCCGTGAAAGCTTCATCACTCTTATAACCTATACAATTAAAATTAAATTTGAATCCGTATAAAATCACATGAACCCACAAATCGCACCGCCTCACATTAATTTGCATCCACCCAACCCCATACAACCTTAAAAGCTCCCCGCCCCCGCCCCATATAACCTTTAATCCGCCCTACCTTTCATCCACGCTATCTCATTATCATCCCTAATTATTTCTACTACTTCTTATTGTTTTCTTAATACTCAGGTGTGTCAATTCAAAAGTGGAGAAGTAATTAATTAAGAGAAAGAGATTACTTTTTGCCATCTAAATTTATGTAAATATATCTACTTTTAATATAGACACGTGAACTATCTAAGAAATATGCTGGGAACTTCCCTTTCGTTTCGATTAACTTTCTTTAGGGATTGTAAATGAGTTGACCCAAAATTGAGTTTCCAGGAACAAACAATTACCTGTAACTGCTTCACTCATCTTTTCTTTCATTCAACTAAAAATCGCTTAATTCTTCCATTTATTGTCATCAAATATGAATACTCAAGGAGAATCATCTTCTTCTTCCAACTTCTCTTATGATGTGTTTCTCAGTTTCAGAGGTGAAGATACCAGAAACAACTTTACCGGTCATCTTTATTTCAGATTATGTCAAGTCGGAGTTAATACTTTCATAGATGATGAGGAATTGAGAAAGGGAGACGTCATTTCAATTGAACTTGAGAAAGCAATTGAACAATCTAGGGTTGCCATTGTTGTTTTCTCCAAAAATTATGCTTCCTCTAGTTGGTGTCTTGATGAACTTGTCAAAATTCTCGATTGCAGAGAGAGGTTAAATCAGCTAGTTTTGCCTATTTTCTATGATGTTGATCCTTCTCAAGTACGAAGACAAACTGGATCCTTTGGCGAAGCTTTGGCAAAACACAAGGAACGATCAATTGGAACTGAAAGAATGGAAAAGTGGAAAGCTGCACTTACTGAAGCAGCAAATTTATCTGGATGGGATTTGAGAAATGTTGCTGATGGGTAACACTTCTTAATTCAACTTTAGAATTTTGAATTTAAGCATTTGCCTAAGCTTATAAGTTGGTTAGTTTTGGAACATTGCAAATTCTTTTTATATTTCTTAATCTCCGTGCCAAATCAGACTGCATCACATAAATTGGAACGAGGGAGTAATAGTAATTGATAATCTCCATTCTCTACCCTCGATTTCCCTGTTATCTGTTGGCTATGGATTTTGTTTTGTTCATCATATATTTTCAAATATCAAAGTTTTGTTTTTTACTGTTTTTGCTAAAAAAACTGTAGGCATGAATCAAAATTTATTGAAAGTATTATAAAACAAGTTCTGCAAGAAGTCAACCAGACACCTCTAGATGTTGCTCATTATCCAATTGGATTAGATTCTCCTATCAAAGATATATTGTTGTTAATGCAAAGTGGATGTGAGCATGAAGTTCGAATGGTTGGTATATGTGGCGTTGGTGGAATTGGAAAAACAACTCTAGCAAAAGCCATCTACAATAGAATATTTCTACAGTTTGGTGGTAGTTGCTTCCTTTCAGATGTTAGATCAAAAGCTGAAGAATTGGGTCTAATCAAGCTTCAAGAGAAACTACTTCATCAAATCCTCAAAACTAAGGAATTTGAAGTTGATAGTGTTGCTGAAGGTGTTAATCTCATCAAAGCAAGACTTGGGTCCCAAAAGGTTCTAATTGTTCTTGATGATGTGGATCATAGAAGCCAATTAGAATCCTTAACAAGAGAAAGAAATTGGTTTGGTTCTGGTAGTGTTATAATTATTACAACCCGAGACGAGCATTTGCTTTATGGTCTTACAACAAATGAGATATACCGGGCCAAACTTTTAAATGGCAACGAAGCACAACAACTTTTTTCTTGTCATGCTTTTAACAGTCTTTCTCCACCACATGAATATGTTGAGCTGGCCCAAAACATAATTAAATATTCAGGTGGGCTACCATTAGCTCTTGTGACATTGGGGTCACATTTACAAGGGAGATCCGTTGAAGAATGGAGATACGAGTTCGAAAAACTAAGAACAATTCCTCATTTTGATATTCAAAAGATTCTCCAAATAAGCTTTGATGGACTTGATGACAATACTCAGAATGTTTTCCTTGATATTGCGTGCGCCTTCCATGGATGTGATGAGGATGAAGTTACCAAAACATTAAACGCCTGTGGTTTGTATTGTGAAAGTGCAATTGTAACTCTAGTCAAAAGACACCTGCTCCAAAGGGATCGGCGTCGTTTGGTGATGCATGATCTAGTGCAGGATGTGGGAAGAGAAATCGTTCGCATGGAATCACCTCGAGACAGTGGAAAACGGAGTAGATTGGTCAACCCTCAAGAAGTCCTTGATGTCCTACAAGGAAATAAAGTCAGTAAATTTCATTATCTTTATCTTGGTTATACTTCTTCTTCTTCTTTTTTCATATTGATATACATTTGCTTATAATTTATGCATTTGTGCTTAAATCTTCTCCCGTTAGTAAGTATCTTTAGATGTTTGAACCATTCTGTACTTGAAATGAACATTTACTGAAGTCTAAACAAACTATCAAAGACAAAATTATCAAATAAACATCCTTTAGTTGGATATAATGTGTAATTTTTTTTTTATTGGTACATAATTTATTCTATTTGTTTGACCTTCAATTTGTATAAAGCATTTCTCTTTCTTAATTTATCATACTTAACATGGTCTTATAGTACTTTTCTTTTTACTAAACTGTAGGGTTCTAAAAATGTAGAAATATTGGTGGTAGAACGACAGGCATTAAAGGGTGTGAAGCTGAACACCAAAAGCATTTCAGAAAATGATAAATCTTAGGGTGCTTAAAAATCGACGACTTTACATATTAGTGGAGATTTTGAGCTATTGTCCAAGGAGCTCAGATGGCTGTCTTGGAAAGGATGTCCTTTAAAATGTGTACCATCAAATTTTCCATCTGAGAAACTTGTATTTCTGAATATGAAAGGGAGCAATATCCTAGAATTTGGTTTGAATTTGCAGGTTCGTTACTCAATTTTGCAAATTTATGTGTAATGTTTAAGGGAAAGAAAATCTTAATTGAAACAATATTTTGTTTACTTTTAGTATTGTAGAAATTTGAAAATGCTGGATCTCTCTGATTGCAAGCGCCTCAGAAAAACTCCAAACTTCAACGGTTCACGAAGTCTCGAGACTTTGTTGCTTGAGAATTGCTTCAAGTCTGAAGGAGATCCATCCATCAATAGGAAATTTGGACAGACTAACTGATCTTCAATTGAATGGTTGCAAAAAATATTACGGATCTTCCGAGCAGCATATGCCAGCTAAAATCCCTTAAAACCTTGTACATTAATGACTGCTCGTCTTTACAAACACTGCCAGTTAACATTGGAGCTATGCAAAGCCTAAGATATCTTAATGCACGTGAAACAGGTATAAAACAATTGCCTGGATCTGTTGAAATGCTACGAAATCTTGTAGAATTGGAAATGGGAGGCCAATACTTAAAGGCCAAAAGGAGTTTTTCTCAAAGAAGAGTACGCCCCATAGTGTCCTTGTCAAAATTTATTTTGAATCTACGCCTTTCATATTGTGGTTTCTCGGAGGCTGATGTTCCTAGGGATATTGGGAGTTTATCCAACTTATATTTTTTAGATTTGAGCGGCAACAGTTTCCTCTATCTACCCTTTGATTTTTCCAAGTTACCATTGTTGACGTCCTTATATTTGAATGATTGTGAGAACCTTCAAACACTCCCGTCAATATCAAATTTAGAGCACCTTGCAATTGTTGAACTTAGGAATTGCCAAAAACTGGTCAAGATTACAGGGTCGGACTACCTCCCTTCAATAGAGAAGGTGGACATGATTAATTGTACTCGTCTGCAGAATCCATTCAATGAAGGCTTCTTTAGTGCCCATGCTCTATCAATTCCGTCTAGAAAACATCAACGGTATAAGGTTAGTCCCTCTCCCTCTCTGATCTCTCCCTCGTATCACATTAATAATTAATGATCTAATTGTGTCTTAATTTGTCTGATGAAGATGTCATTACAAATTAATCTCGAAAGCAATGAGATTCCAGATTGGTGCAGCAATAAAGTAACAGCTCCATCTATCTGTTTGACTATGCCCACAGTACATAATAATAAGTTCTTGGGAATGGTTCTCTGGTTTGTTTGCCACTTTGGCAATGTATCCTCCTATCTTCAAAGCTTCATTGTTACTGTTGCCCATGTAGAGTCTTCAACTTTTTGGTGGAGTTCGCATTTTAATATACCTGACAGTCAGGGAGAAATATCACGTGTATATTACTTCTCTTACTCAAACAATAGACCTTTTAATGGCCTGAAGATCAAAGGCGGGGAACAGATAACAGTAGAGGATCGCACTGGCGGAGCCGTTGTAAAGAAGATAGGAGTACGTCTATTATATGTAGATCAACATGGTAATGTTACTTCTTTCCCGGCAGTTGTGGATCATTCTTATACTCCCTCCTACCCACAAAGACTTTCAGCATGGTATATCAACTCAAACAACAACAACACATCCAGTGAAATCCCACAAGTGAGGTCCGTATTAGTGGATATCAACGAGCAAAGTTCTGAGAATGTGTTATGTACCATGGAAAATGTGTTCCATAGAAGTAGGCCATGGACCTGGATCTACCAAATGATAACAATGCCTCTAAAATGTCTTTTTGGAAAATGTTTCTCCGGAGAATAAGTAGGTTTCTTACTTATTTTCTTGTGATCGTTATGTAAGAAAAACGTTTGTTCATAAAGTATTTGTATATAACACCTAAGACACTACTATCAATCTGTAATATTCAAAATTCTCATCCAACTACAAGCTGATTCGCTAAAAAGTATTTTTCATTTAGATTTTTTTTTCATCCGTCAGATGCTAACCACTCGAAACTTCGATCCTAGTTTTGTCATCCAATTAAAATTTCGCAAGCGTAACTAATTAAAAGTGTACATATAGACATCTCAACTAACAGCTAAACACTCCAACTCACCCTTAATGTGTCTCGTGGACACCCTATACTGACGTGACACACAAGCTTAAAGTACAAAGAGGAAAACTTTGAACTAAACAAAAGTATATTGTACAATTAATCTATTCAATTAGTACAATTAAAAAGTTAGAAACAAATGGTATTATCATGATTTTGAGGAATATACAAATATTATATTTCCCATACAGTCATACACCATTTTACAGTATTTTGTCATAAAATATTATGATAATTCAATCCATAGAAAAATGGGACGCCTGGAAGATTAAAAAACTGCACAAATAAATTACATTTTCTTTTTTTTCCCACAGTAAGGATAGAGCACAAAATCAATATTTGGTTGGCATTCTGATAATATTTAATTCTATTCCCTTTTTTCCTTTCAAAAATACTATAAAGAAAGTGAAGTTGGAGCAGAAGATATGGTTTGTTATTCCCTTGCTTTTCTTTGTTCCAAATACTATGACTGCTACTGGCATTTCGATTTTATATTTATAGGTTCTCAATTTTATAAAAAGCATTTACTGGTCGGATCGGGTTCCGGATATTATTTTTACACATAACAAACAAATTTATTATCATAAATACAAAGTTCAATTTGGATCAAAATTACTGATTTGATTATTATAGAGAGGTTAGTGTGAACTCAATAGATTTTATTCATATTATTTATATGTACTAAGAAAATCATTAAGTAATTAATATAATTTGATTATGAACTCAATTATTATCATTCATAAATTTATTTATTTTTTATAAGAATTCATAAATTTTAAGTTCTGAATTCACCTCTATATCAGTATGATAGGTATAGGATTAAGACCAATGGTTCAGTAAGAGTGATCCAATTAGTTTTATTAGTTGTTTACTTGTTTAATAGTTGCAATAGACTAGTAGTTAGTTTTATTACGACAAAGTTTCCTAGTTTTTACTATTAATACAAAGTGTTTTAATTTCTTTTAAAAAATTATCGTTATAATTTATGCGATACTACTTGATTAGGTAAAAAAGAAAAAAAAGTTTAATCCAACTTGTGAATTGAGAACAAATCGATGTTTTCAATTCCATTATTAAAAGATTATGACATCAAGCTTAACATCATCATAATTATGTGGAGAGATGAACTTTTGAGTTTTCAAGGAAGAAAGAATCTTACTTTTTATCATTCAAGTCTTTAACAAATTAAAGATGAGACAAAAGGTAAAGAATCATTAAAAAAAAAGTCCCAATTAACAAAATTTAATGAAGAATAATTGTACAAAATAAATTAAAGAATATATAGCATTAGTTAAGTTACCAAGAAAAAACCATAGCATGTGCATGGTATATTATATAGATAGCTACTCATTCTTCCATATATTAGTCATCAAATATGAATACTCAATTTGTTGTAGGGGAATCATCAACTACTTCTTCCAACTTCTCTTATGACGTGTTTCTGAGTTTCAGAGGTGAAGATACTCGAAAAACCTTCACAGGTCATCTTTATTCCAGATTATGTCAAGTTGGAATTAATACCTTCATAGATGATGAGGAATTAAGAAAAGGCAAGGTGATTTCAAAAGAACTTGAGAAAGCAATTGAAGAGTCTAGAGTTTCCATTGTTGTTTTCTCGAAAAATTATGCTTCGTCTAGTTGGTGTCTTGATGAACTTGTTAAAATTCTCGAATGCAAAGACAAGTTAAAGAAAATAGTTTTGCCTATTTTCTATGATGTTCATCCTTCTCATGTACGCAAGCAAACCGGATACTTTGGTGAAGTTTTAGCTATGCTTAAGGAGCGATCATTCGAGGTTGAGAGAATGAAAAAATGGACGGATTCACTTACTGAATTAGCGCAAATTTATCTGGATGGGATTTGCGAAATGTTGTTGACGGGTAATATTTATAAACTGGTCAAACTGACTTATCAGTCAAAAGTCATAAGTTGGTTATCAATTATTTTTTTTCCACACATCAAAGTTGTTTTTTTTATTCTAACTTTTGTTTTTGCTAATATGCAGACATGAATCAAAATTTATTGAAAGTATTGTAAAACAAGTTCTACTAGAGGTAAACCAGACACCTCTAGATATTGCTTGGCATCCTGTTGGAGTAGATTCTCGTGTCGAAGATATAGAGTTGTTACTCCAAAAAGGATGTGTAGATGAAGTTCGCATGGTTGGTATATATGGCGTAGGTGGAATAGGAAAAACAACTCTGGCTAAAGCTATCTACAATCAAATATTTCGACACTTTGATATTAGTTGCTTCCTTTCAGATGTTAGATCAGAAGCTGAAGCATTTGGTTTAGTCAAGTTACAAGAAAAACTACTAAATCAAATTCTCAAAACTAAGGACGTCAAAGTTACCAGTGTTGCTGAAGGC